TAGTGTGTCGCGTTTATTTCTTGTGTCGCATTATGTTGCCATACTGTTGTGTTTGGTGGTCCTGAAAAGGACCATTTTAATATAGTGGCGGTTTATCCCGTTACAATTGTTATAACATTATATTATGCAAGGCCATACTGTTGTATAAATATACATAATAATATATAGATTGTCTGAAAAAATGTATTATAAAGCAAATGGCAAGCGTAATAAAAACTACATTATAATATTAAGCTTAAAATTTTACTTAAATGTTGTGCGTCTTTGAATTTGAGCATAAATGTACAGTACATTTTTATGAGCGTCTGAGTCAGAATTTTGACAAAATTCGTCAAAATCACGAAATTTTGACGATTTTTTTAAGTTTTGTAATTCATAAAAATTGTCTTTTTATATCTAATATTTAAAAATTGAATTCCTTAAAAGTTTTTCAACCTTTAACCAAAAAAAAAAAAAAAATGTCTACTGGAAAGTCCAATTACTTATTTATGAGCATTTGAAGTACAAATTTTTACAAATTGTACTAGCTGTATTCACTCAATTTCTCATGGAACGATGTTCATAATTATTGTTGTCAAAAAATGAATTACCGTAGGTACTTGAAATTTACACCAAATGTTTATTTTGTCAGTTTCTATACTTGATAAAATTTTCAAATTATTTTGACATGTTTTTAACTGTTAACGGATTTTTCTTTTTATTATTATTGGTAAATTCGCTTCAACAACAAATACGTTATTAGCGTACCTATACAGTGTGTAAACGGTAATCGAGAACACTCAATATCTTTACGTAGAGACCTGCTATTTGAATTCCGTTTTTTTGGCAGTTGTTATGACATAAAAATACACATTTTTATGGTCTTTGAATTTTTTTTACTTAATTAGTCACGCGCATGCGCATGTCAACTTTTTTTTTAAATGGCAACCCCCTGCTTTAACCACCACTTATTTTTTGCCTATTTTTTTAATGAATTTTGGTAGTTGAATCAACTTTCTAAGTCCAAAATTGACCAAGTTACAGCCAATCAAAAAAAGAAAAAATTAGAAAAAAAAATGCCCTCGATTTTCAGCTTTTTGATTGTAACTCTGAAAATAATTATTTTAGGATTGTTGAACATTGACATTTTTGTAACGATTTATTACGGTGATATTCATACGTTATTTTAACTTCAATTACTGAATAATTTTCTCGCGCTGAATCATGTTTTGTTCACGGCAGAGAACAGTTTGAACAATTTATTCGTTAGATTTTTTTTTTTATTTTTAGATTTTTATTAACTACATAAATTGGTAACTTAAATAAGAATTGAATTTGTTATTAATTAATAATTATTAATACGTTCTAATAGATCCATTAAATGTAAAGAAATAAACAACATACTAATTTACGTTTTTTCTGCTATAATAAGTTATATGATTTATTACACAAATTAAAGAGAAAATTATTCAGTAGGTAATTGAAGTTAAAATAACTTATGAATATCACCGTAATAAATAGTTACAAAAATGTCAATGTTTAACAATCCTAAAATAATTATTTTCAGAGTTAAAATCAAAAAGCTGAAAATCGAGAGCATTTTTTTCTAATTTTTTCTTTTTTTTGATTGGCTGTAACTTGGTCAATTTTGGACTTAGAAAGTTGATTCAACTACCAAAATTCATTAAAAAAATAGGCAAAAAATAATTAGTGGTTAAAGCAGGGGGTTGCTATTTAAAAAAAAAAAGTTGACATGCGCATGAGCGTGACTAATTAAGTAAAAAAAATTCAAAGACCATAGAAATGTGTATTTTTATGTCATAACAACTGCCAAAAAAACGGAATTCAAATAGCAGGTCTCTACGCAAAGATATTGAGTGTTCTCGATTACCGTTTACACACTGTATAGAAGTATTCTTTTTTTTTTTAATCACAATTTCTATTTCTTTAAACGTTAAATGTCTTGTCGTATTAGTATATATATCGTTTTAAATGTAATTTTAATATATTATTGTGTACACAACAAGTCACAAGTATTATCGTAATCATCGACACAATTGACATAGTGTGCGGATTCGACAGTCAGACTCTTGTGGATCGATGACCGGATTTTCGCAGTAGGTATACTTACTTTTACGTAATCACAATAGTTATAATTATATTATTATTTTAGATTGTGAGCAGAGCGATAAAATAATGTGTGTTTGTTTTTTTGATTACTATTTCTGTCTGTTCTCACAATTTGGAGCAGAAAAAATTTCACCACACCGGTAAATATAAAATACTTTCTCTTGGCCAAAACCTTCAATGTATATTATTTTATTGAGATTTAGTACGTAACAAAGAAATTGTTATTCAATGCTCTTTATGCGTCCCAGTAGATTCCACGCTCACCGCACGTTCAGTGGAGACTTTATCGTGTGGAAATAAATAAAATCGTACACTTTAATGCAAAAAACAAGAAACAACATTTTACTGTGTAAACAGAATAATAATTATATTAGATCATAATTTGATGAACATTTTTTAAACAATTTATGTTGAGAGATTTACAATTTTGATAAAAATTATGCCGAAAAAATTAGATACAATTTGTAAAAAACAATAAATATAATTAATTAAAAAAAAGAAAAAAAAGGCATCGGACAAGACTAGGCGATGTGTGGTGGGTACGTGATGGCGAGTGGGTGGTGATGCAGATAATAACGATGGCCACTGGTCATCTCTACACAGTTCTCACGGCCGGTCCTGCGGGGCGGACGAGAGTCGCGGGCGCGTTTGGTCTGGACGCGAAGACGACCATGGCGACGGACGAAGCCCGGCCACGACGGCTGCGAGAGCGACGACCACGACAGTTGACGACGAGCGGCTGGCGCGCGATGTAGTGCGCTTGACGATACTGCGGGCGCTGAAGACGACTGTTGTGACGGCGACGACGGTGACCGAAGCTCGGAGCGAGCGACGAAGACAATAATATCGGCTGGCGGGATCAGACCACTGGGCGAAAATGGGAGAGAATCTGCGGACAGTTTCGCAGCGCGCCGCTGTCCTAAGACTCTCCGTGGTTTTCGCCCTGGCGTCGCGCACCACCGAACTCTGAAACGTTTCGTTCCCTCGAGCCCGGCGCTGCTGACTTCCGTGGTCCTGGCCACCCCGTAATCATAGTCATCCGTCACTCACCCGCAGTGAGCTCTGCGGTCTCCGTCGCCGCCGTCACGAGTCGTCTTCGTGCAGCACCGCAGCAGGTGTCGTCACTCGTCACTGGTACCGTCGGGACGGTGTCGATGTCCGCGCCGGTACCGCTAGCCTCCGTCGTCGTGTCGTCGTCGTCGCTTTCTTACCGAAGCTGCCGGGCGCCCGCCACGCCGCCAGAGGGTCTCGCGTGTCCTCGGCGACCACGAGCTCACGACGTCCGCGATCTCGTTGCGCTACCGCAGGTGCAGGCCCGAGAACGTGTATCGGCGACTTACCCCCGATCACCCCAAAAGTGCACTGTCACGTACCTATATACCTCGACCCCACGTCATCGCCTCAGCTCCCCTGGCCGGTGTGACGAACTCCGCCTCGTCACTGGGCTGTTCCACCGCCGCCACCTGCATGGCTGGTTCAGCGACCACGTCGTCTCCAATCCGTTCAACCGGATCAGCGACCACGTCGTCTCCGATCCGTTCAACCGGTCCAGTACTGGATTCGTCGTCCGGTTGAAGGATTTCCGCCGAGTCGCCCCCCGCGAACTGAGTCGCGTAAAACAAAAGACCCGCTAGATCCTCGATGGTCGGCTCTTCATCAATGTCGTCGATTCGTCTTAGATCTTCCTCCATCAGCTCGTAATCAATGTTGTTAATTATTTTCTCCAAGACGTCCATGATGATTTCTTCAATCTCGTGGGTCGTTTCGTTCTCTTGTGATTCAGCCATTTTTTCCAGGTAAATTGTCAGCGCGTAGGTAGTGAGAATTGCAAATGAGACGATTTCGAATTTCGTCCTAGGCCGTCGCCGATGATTTAAAACAAACATCGTTTGTTAGTAGCCAGCGAGTAAACCATCATAGTATTAATAATCGACCTGCAGCTGTGGCATCGGCTGGATTTCGAGCCCGTTTATTTTTCCAAACACCATTATTTGTATTATGTTATTTGCATTATATTATACAGATTGTAACAGATAGAACTGACTTTTGGAATAACCTTTGTTCTAATCAGTACTTAAAATTTTTTTTTATATGTAATTTATAGTTACTCGCGCGGTTGCGCTGCGTTACACATATATTAAAGAAAAATTATTTTTATTTTTTAACACTGAAAATAAAAAATTTTAATTTGATTTAAATTTTTTTGGATATACTCAAAATAGCCAATTTGTGGTTATAAGAAAAATATTCATAGAAAAAACATTTATCTAAGTCAAGTAGTTTATTTTTTAGAATTTTTTTAAAATATCAATATTTTTAACAATTTTTGTCATACCTACATTTAAGTAGGTATTACATTTTTATTTTTCGTCAGGTCTTTGAGTTACACCTTGTATAAACGTGTTGTACTCGTCTTATACTTTTATAGGTGAAGTAGTCTTTTAGATTCTGATCGTAGAGATTAATGCGTATTAAGATTTTACAACTACCTATGTGTTTTCGTGTATGCGTATCGTTTTATGGTAAAAAAAATGTTTTGTTCATCAACATTGGGGATGATTTCTGACCGCAAATTGGATCTATAGTTGGTAGGTATTGTAGTGTTTGTTCCATGACCTTAGATATAACCTTAAAATATTTGTCAATTGTCATATACTCACACAGTCACTCATGTTATAAGTATGCTTTGTAGTATGTTTTGAAGTTGTTCAGTTCTTATTATGTTATGTTAAAAATATTAAAAGAACACTTAGTTAAATTGTTTATTGCTAATTTATCATCATCCTACAAATATTACAATGGCGACGAAGTATTGACGTATTCGCGTGTGTTGAACTGTTGAAGTATTGGAAATTTGGAACACGTGGAAATTTATCAATTGTTGAGTCAAAATGCCAAATGAACAAGATTCGTCTCAAGTTGTTACTCAAGCTCTTGGTGTTGGTAATAGCCGTTTTTGCATAGGGCAAATGTCGGAATTGCGTTTAAAGGATGATGATTTCAATGCGTGGGTTGAAAGGTTTGAGTTATATGTTAACCTTAATGAAATAAATAAGCATAAGAAAAAGTTAATGTTTCTAACGTTATTAGGGAATGATGGATATTCCTTAGTTCGTGACTTATGTACGCCTAAAAAACCCTTGGATCTTAGTTATGATGATCTTAAACAGTCGTTGTCGGATTATATTAATCCTAAACCGAATTTAATAACAGAACGTTATAAATTCAAAGAGCGTAAACAGGCAGCTGATGAGACTATTATTCAGTTTTCCACGGCACTCAAGAAGATGTCCGAGTTTTGTGAATTTGCTACCAGTTTGAATGAGTCTTTGCGTGATCAATTCATATGGGGCGTTAAGGACAATAATATTAAAAAAAAACTATTATCAGAAGGTACTATAACCTTTAAAAAGTGTGTGGAATTGGGACTTGCAATGGAATCAGCAAGTAACGACGTCACAAAATTGGATCAACAACATGCAGTTAATTATCATAAACAGCTCAAGAGTAAGAAGTATCAAAACAACGTCGGGAACAGGATACCACCAACAAAAGATAATGGGAAGGCTACTACATCAAATGCCAATGGTAAAAAGGATATGGTTTGTTATTGTTGTGGGACAAAGGGTCACACAAAGCCATTTTGTAAGTACAAATCATATTCATGTTCAAATTGTTCTAAGTTAGGTCATCTAAAAAAAGTGTGTAAAGCTAAGGTAAAAAAAGTTAATAATTTAGAACAATGTGATGTCGATTTAAACTTAGATAATTTATTCAATTTAGAAACTGTTAATGTTAATTATGTTCAACCTTATTGGGTGAAATTGAGTGTTGAGGATAAAATTGTGGAGTTTCAAATAGATACGGGTTCGAGTATGACTGTTATAAATGTTAATGATTTAAAAAATTATGAGATTAAATATTTGAACAGAATGGAACAATCTAATGTGCGGTTGAAAACTTATAACAATTCTGTCATTGTGCCTTTAGGTGTATTAAAAGTTAGAGTTCAATATAAAGATGTTTGTAAAGAATTGGAAATGGTTGTTGTTAAAGAGGGTGGTCCTCCAATTCTTGGTCGGGAATGGTTGACTAAGTTAAGTATTCCAATGTTTTCTGGTACTTATTCATTATGTAAATTAACATCATACCAGAATGTGGTACAAACTTTTCCGTCTGTGTTTAATGATATTTTGGGTTGTTATAAGCACAAAATGTTTGATTTAATTCTTAAAAAAGATTTTAAGCCTGTTTTTCTTAAACCCAGAGTATTACCATTTGCCTTAAAAGGTAAAGTTAGCGATGAGATTGATAGACTAGTGAATACAAATTTGCTAGTGCCTGTAGAAACTTCAGATTGGGGTACGCCTATAGTTCCTGTTAAAAAAAGTGATGGGACTATAAGACTATGTGGGGATTATAAAGTTACACTTAATAAGTATTTAGAAATAGATAGATATCCTATTCCTAGAGTAGCTGATCTAATGATTGTGTTTCAGGGGGCTGCAAAGTTTTGTTCGTTAGATTTGTGCCAAGCGTATCAGCAGTTGGTACTTAGTGAAGAGAGTAAAAAACTAACAACTATATCTACTTTTAAAGGATTGTTTATGTTTAATCGATTACCATATGGTATAGCCTCAGCTCCAGGGTTATTACAAAGAGAAATGGAAAAATTATTAAGTGCTATACCAGGCACTGTATGTTTTTACGATGATATTGTAATTGCTGGGAAAGATGACAAAGAATTAAGTGAAAGACTGTATAGTGTTTTAGATAAACTTTCTTTGGCAGGGTTAACGGTAAAGAAAGAAAAATGTAATTTTTTTACCGACCATGTTACATTTTTAGGTTACAAGGTAGATAAAAATGGTCTCCATATACCCGATGAAAGAATTAAAGCAATTAATAATGTGGCAATACCTAAAAGTACACAGGATGTTAAGGCATTTTTGGGTTTGGTTAATTACTACGGTAAATTTGTAGAAAATATGTCTACTATCGCTGGTCCGTTATATGCATTGTTGAAGAACAATACACAATTTGTTTGGAATGCAATTCAGAGTAAAGCATTTTCTAAAATTAAGGAATCTATTTTATCTAATAAGGTTTTGGTACATTATAACCCAAATTTGGAATTAATTGTAGCTAGTGATGCTAGTCTTTTTGGTGTGGGAGCTGTATTATCACATATAATGCCAGATGGGTCGGAGAGGCCTATTGCTTTTGCATCTAGGACGTTGAGTGCATCTGAAAAGAATTATGCACAAATTGACAAGGAAGCCCTTGCCTTAGTTTTTGCCATTAAATATTTCCATCAGTTTGTGTATGGTAGGGAATTTATTTTAAGGACTGACCACAAGCCTTTAGTCAGTATTTTTGGTGAAAAGAAAGGAATTCCTCTTATGTCAGCACATAGACTACAGCGTTACGCTATATTTTTATCCGGTTATACTTATAAAATAGAATTTATTAAAGGTCTAGAAAATGGTAATGCTGATGCTCTATCAAGATTGCCTTTAAGTGTAATTGGTAGTAATGATATAGAGTGTGATAATTTTTTCATTAATATGGTAACTACTAATATTAAGTCTATTGGAGATTTAGATATTTGTAATGAAATTAAAAAAGATGTTGTTCTGCGTGATGTGTTTATTAAAGTGTTTACTGGGAATTGGCCTGATAACAGTAAGGATGTTTCACTAGTTCTTAAACCATTTTACAGTAGGAGACTGGAATTGTCTATCGAGCAGGGTTGTTTGATGTGGGGACATCGATTAATTATTCCTCCAAAGTATAGGAAACATTTGTTGCAGGAATTGCATAGTACACATATGGGTACTGTCAAGATGAAAGCATTGGCTAGATCTTATTTATGGTGGCCAGGTATGGATTCTGAAATTGAATGTATTACAAAAGAGTGTAAAGAATGTTTAATTCTTAGCGATAGTCCACCTAAGAGTGTGTTACATAATTGGCCTTGGCCTGAAGGTCCTGCACAAAGAATCCATGTAGATTTTTTAGGACCTGTTAAGGGTATGATGTTCATAGTTATTTTAGATGCATACTCAAAGTGGGTTTTTGTGAAAAGAATGTTAAATATAACATCTAGTTCTACTGTTATGGTGTTAAGAGAGTATTTTGCAACTTGGGGTATACCTGCAAAATTGGTATCTGATAATGGGCCTTCTTTGTGTTCTGTTGAGTTTGAAACATTTCTTAAAAACAATGGTGTTTTTCACATTAAAACTGCTCCATATAACCCTTCATCTAATGGCGCAGCAGAGAATTTAGTGAGGACTTTCAAAAATTACTTAAAGAAAGTAATTTCTAGTACTAATAATAAAGATTGTATTGATACTAGTGTGTTGAAATTTATTTTGTCTTATAATAGCACTAAACACTGTTCTACTGGTTTTAGTCCTGCTCAACTGCATATCGGGCGTTCTTTATTTACATCTTATGATAGGTTGACACCTTTTGCTAAAGTTAATTATGAAAAAAGTTTGGATAAAAATAAAAATTGGTATAGAGGTAATAGAAATAAAGAGTATATTGTTGGGGATTTAGTAATGTGTAGGAATTATACTGGAGGGGATGAGTGGGTACAAGCAGTTATATTACAGAAATTATCTCCTGTTACTTATGACTTGAGATTAGGTGATGGTAGAATTTGGAAGAGACATGTGAATCAGATTATAGATTGTGGTTTAGTTGTTGAAAAAGAGGTGAGTACAGATCAAAACATTAATTTGGAGCAAGAAGAAGTAATTGAGGAAAAATTGGAGGTAACTGAAGAGTTAGGGAAGGATGTGTTCGATTCTCAAAAGGATACTTGTGTTAGTACTGAAAGACCTAAGCGAGTTAAACGTTCACCTAATAAATTGAATTTGTAAAATATGTTATTAGTATAAATATTTTTTAATTGTCATTATTATTAATTAATATATTGTTTTTTGGCTATCTATATTTTGTATATTTTGTTATTTTATTTTATTTACTTTTTGATTGTTAAAGTTAATATTTTATTATGTATTTTATATGAATAGTATTCTGTAATTAAGTTTGGAGGAACTGTAGTGTTTGTTCCATGACCTTAGATATAACCTTAAAATATTTGTCAATTGTCATATACTCACACAGTCACTCATGTTATAAGTATGCTTTGTAGTATGTTTTGAAGTTGTTCAGTTCTTATTATGTTATGTTAAAAATATTAAAAGAACACTTAGTTAAATTGTTTATTGCTAATTTATCATCATCCTACAAATATTACAGGTATGGTAGACACAGATACTGATGTGTGCTAGTACTATTTTAAATCGTGTTCCGAACGAAAATATGTTATCAGTTTCAGTTATAGTTAACATTTATCGGTGTTTTTGAATTTTTTAAATTTTTTATACTAATTACCAAAATATGTGGTCTCTTTTGATTCGTGTTGAGCTACTTAGGTATAGGCATAGGCAATAGTTGACTATTTTAGGTTTTCCTTAATTTATGTCGATAAAAAATATTTTGCTCCGTCAAGTAACTTAAAAATGTAAATACCTACATTATGTTCCTATACCCAGTATATTATTGTTAGTGAAAATTAAAAAAAAAAGTTGAGCTTAAATCCACGATAGTATTTTTATGAGGTCATATCTGCAGTTTCACCGTCACTTAGAAAATTCCTCCTGTCACCATCTCCGGGTCCGACGAGCACCTCGATCAGCAGCCTGCAATAGCTGTCTACAGTCCGAACAGCCCGGCCGAACGCCTTGCCGCTGCAGAACGAACACGTCGAGCCGGTTGCACGGACACGGGCAGCGTTTCCGTGATCATGGTCCTTTGCAGGCAAAGGCTGATTTCCAAACTCGTCCACCTGCTGCTCCCTGATCCTTTCGGTTGCTGCCACCGCCGCTGCATACCGTATTCTTCGCCGTCGAGCTCCCGCACATCCTCGCTTGCTCCGTCCAGAGCACTGAACCGCAGTCGACCGGATGTATAGTTGTAGTGCACTGCGCCGTCCTGGTCCGACAGCCCGTCACCTCAGAAGATCCTCTCGTCGTCTTTGGTGTGCAGTATGTCAGTAAAATCCGCGGCAATGGACATTTCACACCAGCGTTTCTCCTCGACGGTTTGTTCTGTGGTCGATGCTGTGGTCGTTTCAGAAAAAAGAATTTCATTGTTTTATATTAATAAAGAATGATTTACTAATTAACATTGATTATATTTTTTATTTTTGTTCATAACTCATAATACTTATGATATTGTATAACTAAAATAACTAGTATAATTATAATACCAATTAGTTCAATATTAAATGTTAGAATTTGAGTGTAATGTACAATTTAAAATATGCATGCTAATTGTTGCAGCGCAACAATACATGTAAATTAGAATAATAGCTGGACACACACACACACACGCACAGTCACTTATAATTGTTATCTTTGTATTGTTTTATTTTTGTATTAATTACCGTGTCTTGTGAATTATGTAATGTAGGTATAGAGTATAGAATATAGATTATAAGTTGATCGTCGCTGCCGCCATACCGTCTGCGCGAATTATTATTATTTAACACGGCCGCCCAGGCAATCAGTCCGTTCCGTAGTATCGACGTGAATGTTACCCACTAAAACGTGCGCTAATCGCCGTTGATTTTTATAATTTATTATAATACTTTTTTGTGAGGCGCTAATCGCCATAATTTTTATATTAATATAAGTTTTGTTTTTTATTTTATATTATATTGTTTTTCGGTCGGCGCGAATCGTCAAATTTATTATACGTTATTACGTGCGCGAATCGCCGTTTTTAATTATACTGCTCAAGGCGCTAATCGCCACTTATTTTATTTTATTTTTAATCTGTCATTAGTTTTCTGTGTGAGTGTGTGAATTTTTCCTATTATATAGCTAGGACCAGCTGGCCAGACTGTGCTCCACCAAATTGTGAGTTTTTTATTGTTATTTATTATATATACATATTTATTAGTAGGCCAAAATTGTCACATATTTTATTACTCTGTTGGGCCAGAAGGGCTACATATTATTTGTTAGATTATTTTTACCTTGCGGTTGCTGTGAGTTATATTTTATTTTGTATATTATTTTGAATTATTTATATATTATACAGCAACCTATATGTTTACCTAAAACCGTGTTACCATCTTTTTTATTAGTTACTATTATTTTTAAGCACACACACTACCTAGATACACATTTAGACACAAATACACATATTACAAAACAAGCATCACGTAGTTCTACAGTAATTGCCCGGCGACCCCGACCACTGCTGTTTGAACTACTACACCACCACACACCCAGCTATTTTCATATAATTTCTCCCTTCTAAGTTCTAGGTGTTAGTGGTATTGTTGGTAGGCGTTGGAGTTCGGAGATTTTTTAGTTATTTTATATGCTCCCGGCCCGTTCACTAATCGTGTTCAATGTTAATGTAAATTAAATCAAATATAAGTATTGATTATGATATTAATATATTATGTGTAAAAAATACTTACCTCGAAGAATGGTATTGGTGAAAACTAAAAATCACTCATTTAAAATTTAAAATGACAATGAATGTCTATGTCTAACACCAATTCGTAGTTAAATTATACAACAGTACATAATTTTTTTTCAAAAGTTGGTTACTTAAAAAGTAGGTAGTTGAATACTTTTACAGTTAACTCAAGTACTTTACAAGATTCCTATGCGTCCATTTTACTTATGAGTTTTTGATGAGACAAAATTAGAAATAGTACTATAACAAATACCTTATGTAGTAAAAAAAAAAAAAAACGGTGAAAAAGGTTTATTTCATATGTGAGGGGGAAAGCTAAAGTAGGCAGGGGTAAAGCGTGAAAGTTTAAAATAGTAAAGTTTCGGGTTCAGCGACAGTCGTGCAAATGCATGCTAATGACGTGCTAATGTTTGATAAAAAAAAAATTGTAAAAATGTAGTGATAAGTGACAACACTGTCCACCTACTCGTGCCGCCGAAGCGACGTCTAGTATGTCCTTAGTCTTTTGGTGTGTGTTGCCGTGTGTGTGTCTGCCGGAGTGTGTCCGGACTGCACACGCTCACGGGCACTCATTTGTCTTTTTTTAAAGTTGTTATTAAAGTTATTGTTATTATTTTTCAAAGTATAATTATTAAAGTGTCGAGTAATTATTCATATTAATTGAGTCTCGTGTTTTTGTACTTTTGTGTCACCTAACTAACTACTTCAATTCCTGACATCAACGAGCTCCTACAGTTCAGAAGTGCGATTCTATCCAGCAGCCCTCAAGAAATATTGTGTATTGACATAATTGTGGAATTAGTCGTTGTGTAGTTCTGGGTTGTAACGCATATTTTGTTTTGCGTAACTTAATTAGTTCAGTCAAGATGGCCGACGGTCAAACGCATAGATAATAGAAGAATGGATCGGCCATGCAACCTTATCACACGGGAATTAATTAGAAAAATATTTTGAGGTTATAAAAGGCAATAGATAGATAATAATTTAATGCTATCAGTTTATTGCAGAACAAAACATAGATAATATAGATAATATAGATATGATCTATGAACAAGACAAAGGATGTTATCTATTTTAATTTTTATATTTGAACATAACCTAACAAAATCGCCACTTGCGGGAGTGAGAAACTGCCTTCTCTCTCATACTTAAAAGACCGCGACCACTTGCGTTGTATGATTTAACATGGCCTATCCATTCTTCTATTATCTATGGTCAAACGGGTCAGGATGATGTCGGTAACCACGAGGGTTGGTCATCTAGCCGTTTAAGAAGCGGATCGCAGGCTACAGTGCAGCCACCAGTACAGTCTACGGAGCAGCTAAATACGCAGCCAACGACAAGCATGTTACCACAAAGTTCTAACCAGAGATGGGGGTCGTTCTCCGACAAACATAAATTTGATAACATAATGTAACCTCAAATATTGTCCAATACCAACATAATTTGAATTAAATTGATATTAGGGAAATGTTGTACCAAACATACTACCGTACTTGTCGAAGTATCGGACTATTATTGAACAAAATATATTACAACATGAACATACCAAATTATTATTAAGCTCTGGTATTTTTATAAAAATGGAAATTTAATCGTTATCAAATTACATTAAAAGTAAAGTAACTTGGCAATATAAAAATGTATCATGCATAATGAAAACGAAATACATTTTTATGACGATGACGACGAGATCCATGAATATTTAAATTAATTTAGTTTAGTCCATATACTGTATATACGAGTGTTGTCCAGTTAAAATACTTGGTAATACTTGGGACTTTAAAAGTATTAAGTAGTAGCTTAATGTTGCAGATTTTGGTCATGCTAACACTAAGCATATTGTCACACCGCTCATTAACATTCAAACAGGGCTAGAAAAACATATTAAAATATTTATCATGTTGCAATTAAAAAAAATGAATGCTTAGGAATTATGGCCCAAAGGTGGCCAAGTTAATGAAATACAAGATTGATAAATTAATATACAATGTATTATTTACCTAGGAAAGTTAAGTTGATTAGAAAATGAACTAACTAGTTTCCAGTGTTGTAAGAAATACTTATAAAAATAAAATATTTAAAATACCACCCAAATTAATTCTAGGTATTAAGGTATATTAATTATAAATTTTATATTTTCGTTTAGCAAAGTTAGTAATCAGTAATCACACAGTATATTTTACAGCCAATAAAAATGTGAATAATGAGTATAGCTTTTGCTGAACGGCTATAATATATTTTAAATTGGTACCGTTTCATCGATGGTAAACTGTATTCTGGAGAAAAAAAATTTAATTAAGCTATAAATAGACAAAAAACAAGACCGATATTGAATTGTCCATAAATTAATAATGATTTATATAATATTATAATAAAATTAAAATTAAAGGAATAAAAAAAAAGTATTTAAAACACCATTTAAACACTTCAAAGTAAAAAGTATTTAAAAAAGGATAATACATTTTGAAGTTTAAATGAATAAACATACTTCTATTTCAATGTTTTTTCTGATACATATTAATTCAAATTCAAATTTTCAACATTTAAAGATATAAAAGACTTGTGAATTTAAATCATAAATTTAAGAATGTTGTTATCTTGCCCAAGTTTATTTGTATAATAAAAAAACACATTAAAATATCTCTCACATAGCCGTGTACATAATATGGACAATTACAGTAAAGATATCAATGATCTTTTAATCAAAATTTTATCTTATTAAATATTAAGGGGATTCCATACCGTGATTTTCTGTACTATGTCACGCGTGTGTTAGACAAAAATAGAAAATCACCGGGTGGAATCCCCTTAAAGCATGAGGTAATATGGTATAATATAGTATAATCTTTAACAGATATTAGGATCTACCTGAATATCCTATAAAATAGCTTTATAGATATTATACAATATATTACTTCTCAATGACCTTTACAATAAAGGGTATAAGCTTTAGTAAAATATTATCTATCTTATCTTTTTCTACATTTAATACATTAATAGACTACAAAATTGTACATCAATTGCATGTGCATATTATGGTCATTGCTCTGTCATTCCTTTTGAGCTTTGAGTGTTGTATTGTTGTATACTATTTCACTTCATATTGAGACTTATTGTGCAAGTATATAATTATCCAATATGAATAGAGAACATTTGGATGAGCATAATTACTTTTTGAATCTTCCTGAACAAAATATTGAGGATGTAGATGAAGAAGTCAACGGTAAGTACTTTCTTACACCAATTTGTATCATATTTTTTTAATATATAATTATTAATTAATATATATAAAAATAATAATATAAAAATAAAATAGAAATTATTACATTCAGTTCATTTGTATGGCGTATATAAGGTATTACATTGGAATTATCTATCAATTACATATTAATTTTCACTATATTTCTACAGTTCAAGAACAAGCAATGACATACAAAATAATTCCTGGTGTGAGACTTAAGTCTCAAATATTTGTGGACAATTTAAATCACCGATACTACAAAAGTAAAAGTCGAATTAATAAAATGTGAGTAAAAAAAAAATTATTTTGAGATTTGGTTTATAATTTATAACTATTTAGATATTTAGTATGCGAAAACCAAAAAAATCGCGGAGAGTTTTGTTCTGCCACTGCCTATATAAGCACAAACATCAACGATAATGTTATAACGGTACTAGGACAACACAACCATGATCCTCGGTTAGTAGATGTTCCTATGGTTCATTTGAGAAGAGCTATTGGTACAGCAGGTACAAAACCTGGAACTATGTCCAGCTCTTCAACAACAATTACCATTAATGGCAGAAGGCGAAAGGGTTGGCATAGTTTTTGCAAATTTAGATGCTATTCAAAAGTATAGGGAAGAGCTCTTTACAGTAACCGTTGCAGGTATTGATGGGACTTTTAAAACGGTTCCCAGATGTCCACCTCAGTTCACCAAAGGTTGTCTTTTGACATTTCAAGTGGTTTTAAAAAATGTAGTAAGTACAATTAGTATAAATAATTTAATTTTTCTGAAGTACATACCTATTAACTGTATTTTACATTTAAGTCTTTTCCAATGGTTTATGCGCTAACTTCAAAAATGACCCAGGCTGCATATGAATCGTTTTTGATAATTACTCGCCAGATTTTGCCATTAAACTATGCGGAGCTAGTAATTATTTCAGATTTTGAAAGGGGTTTAATAAATGCTGTAAAATCAGTCATTCCTGAAAGCAGATATCAGGGGTGTTGGTTTCATTATTGTCAAGTAATTAAGTATAGTTACCTAATATAATTCACATAATTTAATATATATTTTCTAGTCTATAGTAAGGTACTGCAGAAGGACTATGAATAGTATATTCAATCTCTTCCAATCCATTCCTGAGGCGGCTAAAATATTGCGCATGGTAATTTTTATCAATAACGGATTACTGAAATTAATAAGAATATTTGAAATAGTGTAGGTAATTATAAATTTAAATGTTTTACAAACATGTCTGTTATAGATCTTAGCCTTACCTCATTTGCCAGCAGAAGTAAATCCCAATTGTAGGTTCACAATTTTTGATGGATTCAGGGTAGTTGTTGAATTTGCCAACCAACATCCAAACATTTCTCAACGTTTGGAGATTTTTCTCTTTGGTTATGTTCAAGATTTTTGGCTAATACAAATTGGCGCTGCATCTATAAGTGTCTACGGGTATGAGAATTTTATATAAAACAAAAAAAAAAAAAAAATAGAAATAAACTACTAAAGAGTTTTTAAATACATACACTTTTTAGTTCTGATGTCCGCACCAACAATTATTTGGAGTCATTTCATGCAACACTGCTAAACCAAATGGGAAAACATCCAAATATTTGGGATTTTTTGCGTAAAATCAATTTTGTAAAATAATATTTGTTCGGAAATTGGAAGTCTAATCTAACTATCTACCTAACCTATGGATTTGTATTTATTTGTTTAGTGCTGTGAATTAAATGTTATGATTCAAGGTGGTTGGTTAAAATATGTTAAATAATAATAAGTAGGCAATCAAATATTTTATTTTTATTCTAGAAAAACTGTTGCTGATTGAAAATCAGTTTTATATTGAAATGGACCAAGTTCGAAGAAACCTTACAGTAAATGAATGATTTCATTTTATTTATTTATACCTACCTGTATATTTATGGTTTTTTTGTTATTTTTAAATGTTAAGGTTAGAAACCATAAGTCTAGAGTAGACAGAGCAGACGCAACGCGTAGAATAAGGGATTATATTAATATATTAAATGAGGATGGGAACCTCTTAATGTTCCTTCAAAGAGCAGGCCATATGATGGACGGTTATCTTCATGGGCAAGTTGGCCCACAGCCATAATTCACCTAATAAATTATTATAATTATTATTTTTAACATTAAGCATATTTACATTTTATGACAATTTTATTTTATTATTAATGCTTACATTTTTTAACAATTTAATCAACTATTTATAATATTTACATTTTTGGACAATTTAATTTTTTATTTTATATTATTACATTTTTCAATATTTATTGAATAACACGTTTTATTAGTTGTATTTTAGATTCATCGAGTAGCGATGAATTTATTGGTTTTACAATGATTATGTGTGTTTTATTGTCAATAAGCATAATTTAAAACATTTGTATTACCTATTATTATAATTATTATTATTAACATTAAGCATAATATTAACATTTTATGAAAATTTTATTTTATTATTAATGCTTTACACTTTTTAACAATTGAATCAACTATTTATAATATTTACATTTTTGGACAATTGAATTATTTATTTTATAATATTACATTTTTCAATATTTATTGAATAACACGTTTTATAAGTTGTGTTTTACGATGATTATGTGTTGTAAAACAATTTACAAACCGTAGAAAAAAACTTCAGAAGTTAACATTATAAATTATAATACCTTACCAGTTACCGTAGAAAAAAACTTCAGAAGTTAACACTAGTAACTTGTAACTTGTTAGTACTTTCAGCTTTGTTATTTGTACATATGGTTTTTTTAGAACACTATAAGCAGTTTTCCGGCCGTATTATACAATGTAGTATAAATTAAGGTTAAACCGCCGATTTAAAGTTTTACGAAAATGAGTTTTGATATTTTGTTTTTACAGTTGGTCACTCTGACTGTCGGAGTAAAAATTGGTTGTTATCATTTGTCGGAGAACGGCCCTCGTCCGTTCTAACCAACCGTCCGGGAGTGTAACCACCGCCAGTGATAGTGGAATGCAAAATGCATTGTCAGCGCTGATAGAGCAGAACCGATTGTTGTTATCGCGGATATTGCGTAATGAAGACAATAACAACCACGGACTAAGATATACAGGACTGGACACGACAAGGTTGGAGGGTGTGGGGGGGTTGACTACGAAATGTTTTACAACAGGCAGTGTTCGGGGGGATATTTTCCTTTTAGCATTACTAGCGCCGTCCTAGTGGATACTTATGGAACTAGAATACATCATACAAATTTCTAGTTCCATAAGTATCCACTAAGACGGCGCTAGTAATGCTAAAAGGAAAATATCCCCCCGAACTCCGCCTGTTGTAAAACCACGGACTATTATACTGGACTGGAAACGTCAAGGGAGGCGGGTGACGGGGGACCGGTCTGCTTAGTGTCCGCGAGAGAGGTGTAGAAAGGGGAATAGTACGTGAGCTAATCTAGCGCAGCCTGGTGTACCACAGGCATACTATTCTTTCAAACGTATTAACCGTGGTACGCTACGCACTACGCGTCTACGCCAAAGTAATTTATTATTATTGTAAATTACATTTTAGAATAAATACCTAAATAACTACGTATATTAATATTTAATATTATAAAATTGTAGTTAAATACACGTCGTTAAATACATTTAATATATTTTTTTTAATGATATAATATACATATATTTTGACACCAATAATTACTGTTATGTATTAACAAGTTTTGCATTTTTCTTCTTTTTTGCATTATTTTTATGTTGGTCTATGTTTGAGATTTTTGTGTACTGATGCATTCTTGTTGTAATGTAGTATGATATTATAAAGGTAAGTATCTCACTTTTATGAGTAGCGCATGGAAATGTTTTTATCAGTTGTTGTTTTTTGTTAAAGAAATCATCAACAGTCAATTCAAAAACATCATATTCATCACAAAACTTTTTGAATGAGTCTTCTACGTCTACCAACAAATGAAACAAAAACATGTTTGGGTGGCATAAACCCCCTCTAGATTTCATATTTGTCAGTGTTGCTTCAGGCAAATCACAATATGAAGTTTTTCCTACACATCATAGGTAATGTTTAAAAAGTATTTAAAATTAATTAATTTTTATAATTAAATGCTTACCTAATACTGCTTGTTGACAATCACTGCACTTAATATGTTTGTTTATATGTCTTGAAACAAACCCACATATATAATATAACACACAAGTTTCTGAGTTAGATTTGTAATAGTTATGATCAATAAAAATATCTGGTTGAAATACATCATCCACTTCCACATCTTGTGTAACTAATGTATCAAGCCTCTCTGTAAGTTTATTAATTTTTATTTGTCTTTCTGGTGTATCATATTTACTAAAAACATTCTTAAGATCACTAATTGTAATTTTTGGTGTTGTTGAATCCAGTATCATGCAGTTTCCAGTTTTAGGAGGCTTTAGTATCGAATACATAGTTAGCATTTTATATACTTGTAAAAATGTGGGACAGTTTGGGTGATCATTAGGACCCGTAGCTTGTCGTGCCATACCGAAAAATTGCTATTGATAGGTAGAAAATATGACGGTGCGAGTCATTTGGTAGAAGGCCATTTGGTCGAAGGTTTAGTGATCGAAAAAAAGCGATCGAAATGTCATGTGATCGAATCTTTTTTTGGTCGAAAAACAGATGATCGAATATTTTATTAATATAGTCGAAATATTTTGTGGTCGAATGGGTTTTTTGGTCGAAGTAAAGATAATGATTATCTTTTCGATTACTTTATCTAGTATTTTTATAGATGTACCTAGCCCATATGAAGGTATATCGTAGGTATAGTAGGTACTTAGTGTTTAACGACTGTTCAACGTGTACGGTGTACCTACCAATAGTGTTTATCATCTGTTAAATATACTTTGGTATTTTATACATTTTTTTGCAACAACAGTTAATTTTTTTTTTATCATATATAAATATGAATATTGATATTGTATCTAGCATCCATGGAGGAATATTATTAAATATAAATAATTTCATATATAAAAAAAACAAAGATTTATTACGTAAAACTGACGGCAAACACGTATTTTATTGGATTTGTGTTAATAAATGTGGTGCAAAAATTCGAACTGTGGAGACAAATGAAAAAAAACATGAACTAGATAAAAATTCAACGTTTTTTCCGGATCAACACTGTCATGCTCCCGATCCTATAGGCTTGGAAGTAAGAAAAATAAAAGAAAAAATTAAAATGAATGCGAAAAATTCAATCGAAGATAAACCATTACAGATCTATCAGAAATCTATTAACGAGTGTTCGACAATTGTTGCTTCCCATGTGAGTAAGAATTCAGTTCAACAATTAGTAAAACGTCAAAGACGCAATGTAGAAATCTACAAAGAACCAAAATCCATTGATGAAATATGCCTAGCCCCAACAATGTGTCAAACACTAAAAGGTGAATTATTTTTAATTAAAAAAAATGAAAATTTGCTGTTGTTTACGACGAATGATAACTGTAAATATTTAAGCGAATCTATTTGCTGGTTAGCAGATGGAACATTCAAGGCTTGCCCTCAAATTTTCGAACAAATGTATGTTATTCACGGATCAATTAAACGCGGAACCGATGAAATTTTCGTACCATTAGTATTTGCTCTGATGAATGGTAAAAGTGAAGAGCTATATAATCAAGTATTTTTTTTATTAAATGAATTTTGCCTCGAAAACAATATTAATATTACACAAACTAATGACTTGGAAATAATAACAGACTTTGAAAAAGCGGCCATAAATTCTTTAACTGAAAATTTTCCCCAAGCAACTCATTCAACATGTTTTTTCCATTTATGCCAGATTATTTATAGAAAAATTCAAAATATTGGGTTATCGACGAAATATGCAAATGATCCTGAGTTCAATCTTCTTGCTAGACATTTACCTGCGATGGCCTTTTTACCAGTTGATAGGGTTTGTATTATATTATTGTAATTTACATTGATTTTATTTCATTGTATTTTTTTCTATATCTTTACATTTAATATTTTAGGTTCAGGAAGGTTGGGCCATAATCAAACCATTATTTGGGAGCAATGAAGAAGAACAAAGTCTATTAAAGTATTTTGAACATTCATACATAATAGGTAGACAAGTTATGAAAACAAGAGGAAGACCAAGAAGAGAATCAGTTTACACACCACCACTTTTCCCTCCAGAATTATGGTCTGTAGCTGAAAGGTTATCAACAGGATTGCCCAGGACGACAAATACGGCAGAATCCTGGCATAGAAAATTAAATAGATTAATATCGCCACATCCAGGTTTGTCTGAAATCGATATTATTATTTATCACTAATTATATTATTAATTTTATTATTATTTGTCGTAGGACTGTATAAATTAATCAAAACCTTACAATCTACTCAGAACGAAACTGAAGCAGTAATTGAGATGTTACTTTATGGACGTAGTAATAAAAAAATGAAAATTCAAGTGCAATCCCACAATATACGCTTAAAAGAAGTGCAACAAAGATTATTAGCTGATCCGGGTTATGATTTATTAGAGTATTTAAGAGGAATAGCTCAAAACGCAGTGACAACCCCCACCCCATCACGTAATTGTTCCAGGTGTATATTAATAGTTTTTACTGTGCAAATTGTCAGTTCATTATCCTTTTGTATTTCTTGTTCTATAGTGGGTTCTTCAAACACTGGATTTCGGGACATAGCATCGCATACTTGATTTAAGAGTCCTTTTCTATATTTAATTGTTATGTCGTAGTCTATAATTTTACTTTTTAGTCTCTGAATTCTTGTTGATAGTGATTTAATATTGTCTAAATATTTTAACGGACCATGGTCTGTCCATATCTCTATGTGTGTGCCGTATACATATGGTCTAAAGGTTTCGAGCGCATATACTATTGCTAATAATTCTAGTTCAATTGCACTATATTTCTCCTCAGTAGCAGTGACACGTCGAGAAATGTATGATACGGGATGTAATAATTCGTCACCTTCGTCCTTTTGTAATAAAACACTTGCAATTCCTATTTTACTCGCATCGGTCCATACGACTATTGGTAGGTTTGGGCTGAAATGTCTTAACAACGGTGGGTTTGTTAACTTTTCTTTAAGTATTTTAAACGTTTCTGTGTGTTTATTTAGCCATTTTACCGGAGATTTTTTTTGATTCGAAGTGGCCTCTAGTTAAATCGGTTATAGGCGCTACAATTTCAGCGTATCTTGGTATGAACTTTCTAAAAAAATTACATAAACCTAAAAAACTTCTTGTTTGTTTTATATTTTCTGGAATAGAAAATTTATTTATCGCTGCCAATCCCTCCTCATTTGGCTTGACTCCATATTGATTAATGATTTTCCCTAGTATTTTCAACTCAAAATATCCAAATTTACATTTTTTTGGTTTCAATTTAAACCCTGTTTTTCTAATTCGTTCTTATAGTTTTTCTAAAATTATAAGTAGCTCTTCAAATGTTTTTGCATAATTTACGATATCGTCTACATAATTAATGGTGCCCAAATAAATTAGTCCAGAGAGAGCAGTAGCCACAGCTTTAGAAAACTGTCTTGGAGAGTTTTTATAGCCAAATGGAAATCTTGTCCACTCATATAATCCAAATGGGGTGATAAATGCTAATTTATATCGGTCTGTTTTACCCAGTAGAATGTTCAGAAATCCCTGCTGCATATCCACTATGTTGAAATATTTCGACCCTTCTAGACAATCGAATATTGTTTGTATATTTGTGATCGGGAAATTCTGATGAGGTACTTGTTTGTTTATTTGTCTATAGTCGATTACTAATCTTTTTGTCTTATCCGCCTTACTAACTAAAAATGCTGGGCTAGCATATGCTGAATTAGATGGTATAAATGGTATAATTAAACCTGCTTTTAAAAGTTCGTTGACTTGTCTTTGTAACTCATTTTGTTCGCATAATGCCAATCTATATGGTGGTAAATTTACTGGGTCATCAGTTAATGTGGGTATTGGTATATCTCCAATATCAATGGATCCTAGGTCCATGTCATGTTGCGCGAAACAATCCGCGAATCTTATCAATATATTTTTAGTTTTACTTGTTGATTTGTTTCCAATTCAGGGTTAATATCAAATTCAATTTTTTTACTATCTATTAAATTTGTTATGTTACATATTGTTTTATTGTTTTCGTTATTTTTTACGAGTGTGTTATGTAATATTGTCTGAGGTAATATTGTGTCAGCAAAATGTTCATTCATGTTTTCAAATTCTTGTTCTACATAATGTGTTAACTCATCAAATCCGTTTTGTGTAATATCCACTCCGTCGTATTTTATATTTATTGTTGATAAATCACTTTTTTCCGGAGTTGTTGCTATTGACTTGCATTTTATTTTATGTTCGGGCTCTAATTCATAAATTCTTATTGTAATATCTGTATTTTGAAACGTGAATTTAATCATTTTTGAAATTAAGTCCCATTCTTTTTTATCTAACCCCGAACAAACCTTGGGTAATCCCAAATTATGTATTGACTGATTTATGCAAAACTGTTTTAAATTTTTTAGTGTGTTAAAAATGTCTTCATAGGTGGGTTTATCATTATATGTGTCTTTTGTTATTAAATATAAAATCCATTGTTTATTTTTCTTTAAAAATGCTATTTCTTTAAGTTTTTTATTCTGTGCTTTTAATACGTCTACATCTTCGAATCTTTCTTTAAATTGTTGTGCAATCCCTGCCTCCATTTTGAAGTCTTTACTGACACAATGTGCAATGGCATCATTTATTTGTTCAGTGAATATATTACCTATAATGTCATGGTATCTACATTTGGTTCTATACGTTTCTGAATTTTGTAATAGAAATTGTTGAAAATAATTTTTTTGCTTATTTTGTGTAATATTGTTTGTGTCTTGTAAGGTATTTCTTGGTTTGTCTTCCTGCTCTATTTTTAATTTTACTTCAGTTCCTTTATAATTAAACGTTACTAAATTATTTTTTAAATCTAAAATTGTGTTAATTTTTTTCATTATGTCCAATCCTATTATTACTGGTGTACATAGATTGTCAACTATTATTATTTTATGATTTATTACTATCGTTCCTATTTTTATCTGAGCCACAGTTGTTCCTAGAATGTTTAGTTTAGAAATGTTCGCCGTCTCAAGGTAGAGTTCGCTTTCGGAAGTTAATTTATTACATTTAATAGTATTTTTGTTTATAACAGTTACGCTCGCCCCTGTATCTAATAATAAAGTAGTAGTTTGGTCATTTATTTTTCCTTGTATTTGTATTTGTATTTTTTCTTTTTTATTATCATAATAAGTATAAATGGTATTATTTGTATTTGTATTTTTGACGATATTTAAAGGTATCTTACTGGTAATGTATTGGTGTTCCTGTGCAGACCCAGTTACCTGCGGAACTATTGGTTTTTTTGTACAAAGGTATTACAGTTTCTCTTTATGTGTCCCGGAATTCCACACAGAAAACATATCGGTGGCCCTTGTTGATTTAAATAATTATAATTAGTATGGGGAATTGTTGCCTGATTACTTTGTGTAGGGCGTAGTGTGTTGGCTAATTGGTTATTATTTGTATTATTATAATTATAATTTTGATAAAAGTTTGGTCTAGGAAACTGGGTGTTTGTCATCTGGTTATTATGTGTGAGATAGTTGTAATTCGGATAAAAGTTTGGTCTTGGATTATTTTGATAATATTAATTTTGATTATTAAATATAGGTGGTTGGTAGTGTTAATTTCTATTATAAAAGCTGAATCCATTGTTATAGCTAGTTTGATCTTCGTTCAGATAATTGTTGATACTATTGGGAATGTTATTTTGGGTTTGTCCAACTTTAATTTGACTTATATGATTTTTTAAAACCTCCATTTCTTTAGTCAATTTCTCTACTTCTCCATTTACCTTGTCCTCCGTTCTCAATAGATTTGTTACTTCTAGTTTCTCTAGAGTTTTTTTGATGCTTGCGATCGATGTATTATCTGCTAACCTTATTAACTGAAAGGTTTCTTTGGGTACTCCTTTTAGAATGTGTTCACATATTTCTTCTTCGGTCATATTCTTGTTTATTTTATAACATAGGCCTACTATTTTAATTATGAATTCTTTATATGTTTCTCCTTTTGCTAGTTTCTGATTTTCCAATTTTGCCCTTAGTAAGTGTTTATTTCCTACTAATGTAAATTCTGTTATTAATTCACTTTTGACTTCGTTCCATGTTATATTTCCGTTTTTTGATTTTAGTTGTTCACAAAAATCTTCTGCTGAGTCCTTAAGATATAGTTGTAGAATAATTACTTTGTGTTCGTCGTTCCATTCGTTCACGACAGCTATAAGATCAAATTTTTTTATGAATTTATCAATATCCTCGTTTTCTTTTCCTGAGAAAATATCGGGTTTATGGTTAAACGCCATTTTTATACTTTGTTTATTTTTTAAAGATTTTTTTGAATTTTTTTCAATAATATTCTTAGTGTTGATCTGTTCACCCGAAGTATTATTGTGGGTTTCTACCTTGAAATGTATAGGATCTGCTGTTAATATATTTTTTTTAATATCTATATTTTCTGGTTCAGTTTTTTTTTTATTAGAATCGTCTTCAACAACAGTTACGTTCAATAAATTTTGATCATTATTTTGTAAATTGTCCTCTGTAAAAGTTAATTCTGCTTCGTTTAAGCTATCCTCAGCGTCGTGTTCGTCGTTCCTAAAACTTTTTAATGCTGATTTTGCAAGATTTCTTAATTCATTAATTGTCGATGAAATGTCACTATGTATATTACAAAATTCTAAGAAACCCACTATTTTCGATTTATTTCATAAATTTATCCACGCAACTGTTCGCTGGGAAATTATAAATTCAAATTTCTTTTGTGCTGGTAATTGGTTAAAATCTTCCTTTTCTAAAGTCTCAACTACGTATAGAGAGCACAGTGTAAATTTTTGAACAAGTTTTGCTGACAGAGGTATCTTTCCAAACCTGGAATTTGAAAAATAGTTACCTAAATCGACTTCTTCGATTTGCCGTAATAAATTTATTAGATTAATTTCGTTTATTTCGGAATTAAAAGTTTCATTCAGATATAATATATTTGTTCTATCCACTTTTGTTATTTGGTTGTTCACGTTACGTTTTATTGTAAAACTTGTTGTCCATTAAATACTTTTATTTATCGCAACATTGCTTAATATGTTCACTTACAATAAAATAATTCTCTTATAATTTCTCTATTATGTACTAATATGTAATTTACTCCTATTCTTAAAACTTAAAATCTCGTAACTATCCAAACAAAAAATTCAATTAGGTACTTAATTTTTATTTTTACTATATAATTTCTCTGATAACAAAATCCCTATATGTAATTTACTCCTATTCTTAAAACTTAAAATCTCGTAACTATCCAAATAAAATTCAATTACCTAATTTTTTTTTTACTATATAATTTCTCTGATAACAAAATCCCTATATGTAATTTACTCCTATTCTTAGAACATAAAATCTCGTAAATATCCAAAAAAAAATTAAATTTAAATTAAAATTATAAGGTACCTATACATACATTTTCTAATCCCGTAATTCTTTCAATTCTTTTACTCTTATTCTTAATACTTAATATATATCATGTATATCATTAATCTTAAATAATAAAAAAAAAATCTCAATTATTCTTAACACGGCTACACTTTAATTTTATTATTTTCCTAC